TTGAAAAAAGGGAGCTCGGGATTTATAGCAGCATCATTTGGAAGTGGAGTGTTTCCGCATGCCTTTTAAAGTCAGAGCTTGAGAGGAGAGAGAAGCAGAAGACTGGGGCTGATCTGCTTTGGGATTCAGATCTAAATGCAAAGCCGAAGTTCAGGCAATGCGGCTAAGAATTTTCACAAGGAATGATGATGACTGAAATATTCTGGTTTGTGGGGCAATGGATGCCTTCTCTGTTTAAATTAGCTGAGAGTGTTTTTAACACAATAAAGGTATTAGCTGGAGGACTAAGATGTACCTGCCCCAAGCCATGGTATTTCCAATCACTTCATAGGCATATGAAAGTTGGACAATGAATAAGGAAGACCCAGGAAGAATCCATGCATATGAATGATGGTGTTGGAGAAGAATACTGTCTTGGAAGAAGAGCAGCCAGAATGCTCCTTAAAAGAATTGATGACAAGACTTTGTCTCATGTACTTTGGACATGTTATCAGGAGGGATCAGTCTCTGGAGAAGGACACCATGCTTGGTAAAGTGGGGTTGGTGAAAAGGGGAAGACCCCCAATGAGACAGACTGGCACAGAGGCAGCAGCAATGGGTTCAAACATAACAACAATCATGAAGTTGGTGCAGGACCAGGCAGTGTTTCAGCTGTGCAGAGGGTCGCTGTGAGTCAGAACTGACTTGATGGCACCTTCAACAGCTGCTACTCAGAAACTTTATACAGGGTCGCTGTGATTTGGAACCAACTCGGTGACACTTAACAACAACAGTCCCAACTACTGCAGATTTAAGTAGTCCTGGTAGCATAGTGGGCTATGAGATGGGCTGCTAACCACAAGGTCAGCAGTTTGAATCTACCAGCTGCTCTGTAGGAGAAAGATGAGGCTTTCTGCTCCAGTAAAGATTTACAGCCTTGGATGAGTCAGAACCCATGTGATAGCACACAACCACTAATTACCACTGTTGCAGATTTACACATGGCTAAGTCCTGGTGTAAATAAACAACATTCTTATCAAGGGAGAAAAGATTGAAGTTGTCACGGACTTCATTCTTCTTGGATCAACTATCAACACTCACAGAAGCAGCAGTCAAGAAATCAAACGATGTATTTATTACATTAGGCAAATCTGCTGCACAAGAACTTTTTAAAGTGTTGAAGAGCAAACATGTCAGCTTGAGGACTAAGGTGTGCCTGACCCAAGCCATGGTGTTTTCAATAACCTCATATGCATGCTAAAGCTGGACAGTGAATAAGGAAGACCATAGAAGAATTGATGCATTTGAGTTATGGTGTTGGAGGAGAATATTGAAAGTGCAATGGGCTGCCAAAAGAACCAACAGATTCATGTTGGAAGAAGTGCAGCCAGAGTGTTCCTTAGAGGACAAGATGGCCAAACTTCATCTCTCATACTTCGGACATGTTGTCAGGAGGGACCAGTCGCTGGAGAAGGATATCATGTTTGGTAAGGTGGAGGGTCAGGGAAAAAGAGGAAGACCCCTAATGAGATGGATTGGCCAGGTGGCAGCATCGATGGACTCAAGCGTGGCAACAATTGTGAGGTTGGCCCAGGACCGGGCAGTGTTTCATTCTGTTGTGCATTGGGTCTCTGTGAGTGGGTACCGACTCAATGGCACCTACCAACAAATTCCTGGTGTGGCGCTGCAAGGTAGGCACTCGACCGCAAGGTCGGTTCAAACTGCAAGGTTCATGGTTCAAACTCACCAGCCTCTCCTCGGAAACTTTACACAGGGTGGCTATGGGTCGGAACTAACTCGATGGCACTTAATGACAACAATTTTAATTTTGGTTCAGTCTGTAATGCGTGAATGCTCACTCAGTTTAGATCCATCCAGATGGGAAGTCTTTGTGAGAGAACAGGGATATGGGATGTACATCTATCGCTAAAGTTATGATGAAACAGAACAAGCTCAGATCCCCTGGGAGAATCAACAGTGACTGTGATGTAAAGGAGCCCTGGTAGTGCAGGGGGTTGAGTGCTGGGATTTCAAGTAAAAGGTCGGTGGTTCAAACCCACCAGTCACTCCACAGGAGAAAGATGTGCCAGTCAGCTTCCATAAAGATGAGGGTCTTGGAAACCTGAGGGGGCAGTTCTTTGCTGTTCTACAGGGTCGGTATGAGTTGGAATTTCCTTAGCAGCAGTGGATTTTTGCTTAGTGATCTCAGGTTTCACAGAACAGTATTCAGTAATCAACGATCCCTGGTGGCTCCATGGATAAGCACTCTGAAAGGTTGGTGGTTTGAATCCACCCAGGCGCTCTATAGGACAAAGAACTAGCAATCTGCTTCTGTAAAGTTGACAGCCTAGAAAGACCTCTACTCTGCCACATGTCCACGCTCCAAAATGTCCATGCCAAGGTCACCTCAAAACCAGGTCTCCTGTCCCTTCCCCCTGCTCCTGCTATCCAGGAACAGGGCACGCAGCCCCCTTCTCCAGCTGTCTCCTTCTCTTGTTTTAGTTATATGGATGCTAGGAGGAGTCCTGGCATGGCTCTGTGGGTTAATGCGCTGGACTGCAAAAGTCATCTGAACTGTAAGGTTGGTGGTTCAAGCTCATCAGCTGCTCCTCAGAAACCTTATACAGGGCCATCAGAAGTTGGAACTGACTCAAGGGCACTTAACAATAACAAGGAGGGAGCCTACAGCCCTCCCTCCCCTCTTAGATTGCCCCCTCTTCCCCAAACTCTTTGTTCCTAGCAGGGAACAGACAGTCAGGCATCTTGGGAATTTCCAGTTGGTTCTTCATACCATCCTTAACTGCTCTTACACTTGTGAATATACCATGATATACAAAGGCCCTAACTCCTCCCTTCCTGTGGTAAAACTTCAGGATCCAGCCAGCCACCACTGGACACAGCTGTGCGTCACTCTTTGTAGGTAAATTCCCTGATAGGGAAACCATCTCTTTTTTGTAATAAACTAATCTCTCGGAACAAGTACTGGTTATATTTTTGATCTCATAGTCATCTATGTACTCAGAAGGTTTTCCCTTCTGGGTCTGAACAAGGTCACTATGGGTCAGAACTGACGCAATGGCACCCAAAGACAACGACAAGAAAACCGAATGGCTCTCTGCTTATTGGATTTTCATTGCTGTTAATTCCGGTGCCCTGATGCTGCAGTGATTAAATGTCAGCTGCTAATGAAAAGGTCGGCGGTGGTTCAAACCCACCAGTCACTCTGTGGGAGAAAGGTGAGGCTGTCTGCTTCTGTAAAGATTTAACCTGGGGCAGCTGTCCTCTGTTCTGCAGGGCAGCTGTGGGTCAGAATCCACTCGATGGCAGTGGGTCTGGTGTCTCTGGATTCTCATTCTTGCAAAGGAATGATGCCTTCCACATCCCCCTCCCCAACACCACCTCGAAGGCCTTTGAGTCCCTCTGAGTGTAATCCGTCCATTTAAGAACAATAAAGTTGTCAGAGCAGTAGCTGGAGGATGGAGAAAGGAACAGAGGCTGCGCCCCACAGAGTAAGACTTCCATCATTGGACCATAAAGTGAGGATGTCCTCAGCCACTCACAATGCACACTTCCCAAACAAGATCCGGCCTAGCATGGAGAGTCCATTGCATCTCTGCGGCCCAGGAATAAGACGAGGTACCATCCCTCATTTAAAAAAAAGTTTAACCAACGGAACTTTGATGGCATTGTGGTGGCTTACGTGCGGCTGCAATGCTGGAAGCTATGCCACAGATATTGTGTCTCGATTTATTTACATGTGACTGTCTTACACAGGGAAGGTTTGCGGCAACCCTGCATGGATCAAGTCTAGTGGTAACATTTTTCCAATGGCGTGTGCTCATGGTGTGTCTCTTGCTTCGTACTTTTTCACACGTCATGGATGATAGTCTAGTGAAGTTGGCAAAATGAGCATGACTCGCTTGACTGCAGTCCTCGCTTTATGCCGGTGGTCTGGAACTGAATCCGCAATATCTCTGAGATCTGCCTGCGTTTCAAATACCAACAGGGTCACCTGTTGTGTACAGGTTTCAGTTGAGTTCCCAGGCTAAGATGCACCAGAGAGAAATGCCTGTTGATGTACTTGTGGAATCTAACCAGCACAAATCCTACAGCTCACAATGGAACACTGCCCAGTATAGACACATCAGGGAAGGCCCATGGGTAGGAAAGGCCACCACTGTGGTAGGCGGGCCTGTGAAAGTAACATGGGCTGGCAGTGGCCTCATAAAGACGGTGCAGGCCCGGGCACTATTTTTCCTGTTGTTCATGAGTTCACCGGAGCCAACCCGTGGGCAAGTAACAACAACATCCAAACATTTTAAAACAATTTCTGAACACTGATCATAACAGCAAAATACAAGCTCCAAGGAGTTGTAGTGGCATGAAGGCCGGGACCTCAGGGGATGTAAATGACACGTATCTGAGCTTCGTGCCTCCCAAGCTCTCAAACAGAATGGACAGTCCTTGGAGGTGTACAAAAGAACACAGGTGCTTTCCTGAAACCTGCCTTGCTTGGGTTTCTATTCATGAAAAAGAAGAATAGGATGGATTTGGAAAATAAACTCACCTCCACTTCCATATTCTGAGTTAAAAATAAATTTGGGGAAGTGTAAGTATAGCTCTTTGGTTCTACCCCTGTTCATCAGTCTGTCACTCTGTGGGGGCTTGTGTGTGGCTGTGATGCTGGAAGGTGTACAACCAGTAACTCAAATACCAGCAGGGTTACCTGTGGTGGACAGCTTTCAGCCAAGCATCAAGACTAAAGACTAGGAAGAAAAGCTTGCCAATTTAATTCCAAACATCAACCAGTGAGAACACTGTTGGACTCACTTGCTTAGGACATGACACTGAGGGAACTAATCGGTTGAGGAAGACAGCCTGTTTGAGACAGAGGGAGACCCTTGGTGGGACAGATCAGTGAAATGACTGCAATTATGTGCTGATGATTGGGAGGACCAGCCCATCACCATTGTTTTGTCCCTGAGAGTCAGTGTGAGCACAGGTACTGGTTTGATGTTACCTATGATGGAGAGGAAGGCTTTGGCTCTGACTGGTTCCAAGGGGCTCCCCTTCATTGCCGCCTCGCAGACGTACATCCCGGTGTCGGCGGATGTCGGGTTGCTGATGGTGAGGTGCCGGCCGAAGTTGTGCAGCCCACTGCTGACTCTCACCCCGTTTCTCTTCCAGGACACACTCAGCTCTTCCACGGGTCTGGGAGGACAGAGGACAGGCATGGTGAATCCCACAGATGGCAAGCATAATAGGTCCAGGCGTTCAGCACCAGCCTGACAGAGCGGATTCTGCCAGGAAGCAGGGTGGGCTGAACAATGGGCATTTAAAAATCAATCCAGATCGGGCTGTGCTCCCTTATGGCACGCATGGACAGTACATTCTGCTCAAGGGCTATTGAGCAAGGATAGCTAATTGAAGTCGCAATGGACCATAAGCACTAATGATTCCATTTGCTCAGGAAAAGAATATTTAAAATAAAGACTATTCTAAATATAGTGAGATTGGCAACTCTGTTCTGGAGTCACTGTGAGTCTGCAGAGAACGCCTGGGGCTACAGGAAAGAGGCAGGAAAGGTGGTCTCAATTACTCCCTCATTCTCCAAGGAGCCCTAGTGATGCTGTAGGCCAACCACTGGACTGTAACCACAAGGTCAGCAGTTCAAAGCCACCAGCTGCTCCTCTGGAGAAAGATAAGGCAGTCTACTTCTGTAACTATCTACAGCCTCAAAAACCCTATGCAGGGTGGCTGTGAGTCCGAATCGAATGAAGGAGCTCTGACCTGAAAACGATGAACTATTGGGATCAAGTCAGCATGTTGTTCCCTATCCTCCCGTGTACGGCACGCTCACAGGTAGCGGGACAAACTTGACTGTTGTAGCTAGAAGAGCAAACCATACGTCATGCATAAAGTGTCTTTCCTCAAGAGAGGAATGTCATTGCACCTGTCACCTGTCAAGTGTTGTTGTTGTGAAGTGCCAGTTCCGACTCATAGCCACCCTGTCTGGGGCTTCTGAGGGGCAGCTGCTGGGTTTGTATTGCCGACCTTGCAGTTTGTAGTCCAGTGCTGATCCTACAGCGACACAGCAAGAGTCCAATCTAGCTATCAGCAGTCCCTAAAAGCTAGGGGGCAGTGCTGGCTCAGTGGTAAAATGTTTGCCTGCCACATATGAGACTCTGGTTCGAATCCAGGCCAATGCACTTCATGCACACCCATCACCTGTCTGTCGCTGGAGGCTGGCGTGTTGCTAGGATGTTGAAGGGGGTCTCAGGCTAAGAGGGGCTCAGCAGAAAGACTGGAAGATCGATTTCCAAAAATCAGCCAATGATTATCCTATGGCCGAGAACCCAACCCACAACCAATGATGGGGCCGGGACATAAGCAGGCAGTATTCCATTGCACTTGGGGTAGTTATGAGTCGGGGCAGCTGACAGCAGTGGTAACTCACAACACAGGACCGAGCCTCATACCTGGCATTGGCTATGCATTCCAGGGTGACTTCACTGGTCCCAGCCACCACAGTCCTGTTGCCTGGAGGAATCACTATGACGGGGTCCACAGTTTCTGGGGTGCCCGCAGTTCCTGTGGCAGAGAAAACTGAGATCACTATGGAATCCTGGAGGTGCAACAGTGGGAACATTCCAAACCCGAGTCCTGCTGGTCCAGACCCGTTGATGGGAAACCCAAAAGGTCAAGACTCCACCCTGACCCTCCACTGTTACGTCATTGTCACGGGTCTTTATCTACCGGGTCTCAGCTGCTTCCCTCTGGTTCCATCCACACCCACCTTGAGGGGACACCAGCTAAACAGAGAAACAAAATGCGTAGGCATTGTCAAACAGGAAACGGAGGATCTGTTCTGAAACCGGCACCCAATTCACAATGAAAAGTTTTTGCTTTGTTTTTAAAAAGGCAGCCTCGGAAACTCTATTGGGCAGTTCTAGCCTGTCCTATAGGGTTACTATGAGTCGGAACTGACTCGGCAGTGTGTTTGGAAAAGAGAATAATGACTCCTCCTTAAAAAACTCTATAACTGAGACCATCACATGATCACTCCCAATATCTTCCAGCCTCATGCACAACTGTTTCAACTGTTGACCATTTCCCAGGACGTCTCTGGGTTTTATTATTATTTTATTAATTTATGACTTTTCTTATTGAGTTAGCACGTAAACCCACTATTTTCAAATCCATCCAATTCTACAAACATTAAATGTGCTCAGCATGCTACTAAGCAACTGGTGTTTCTCATTAGTCTCCAAGTAGCGTTTCCTGGAGTGGACCGCCTTCGACTAACCAAATGTTTAGTTCTGTTAGTACAAGCTCTATCCTTTCGCTTTTTGAAAAAGTGAACATCCTGAGTTTCTCTCTTGTTTTGTTAGCAGCAAACTACAAAGAATGTAGCTCATATTCCTGGTGACAAACAAGACAAAAATACCTGACACATCTTTACCACTTGTCTTTAAATCACGTGCACTGTCAAAATTAAATTACACAGAGTACACTTTAAAACAGCAACAACCAAACACCCACTGGTGTGGAGCCAAAGCTGACTCATAGCAACCTAGAGGAGAACTGCCCCCCAGGGATGTAAATATTCATGAAAGCAGATAGCCTCATCTTTCTCCCAAGGAGCAGCTGGTGGGCGGGTTTGAACCACCGACTTTGTCATTAGCAGCACAATGCTTAACCTGCTATGCCATCAGTGCTCCTTATCAAAACCCAAACCTGTCAATGAGTCAACTCCTATTCATAGTAACCCTGTAGGACAGAGCAGAACTGTCTCATAGGGTTCTAAGACCACTAAATCTTTACAGGAGCAGACTGCATTGTCTTCCCACAGAGCAGCTGGTGGGTTCCTGTTGCTAACCTGTGGTCAGTAACCCAACACTTAAACACACTGCCACCAGGCTTCTAATTCCAATCAGGAGGGGGCGCTGTAGGAAGGGAGTGGAAATAAAGTCAAATGAGTACAAATGCAGAAGAGGGTTGTCATCGATATAAACAGCTGGTTCAAGTTGGCCATGCTGGGGACGCTGTGGGTTAGAGGTCGGTTGCTAATTGCAAAGTTGGCAGTTCAAACCCACCAGCCGCTTCTCAGCAGACAGGTGAGGCTGTCTGCCTCCATAAACACTATCAGCCTCGAAAATCCTCAGGGACAGTTCTACTCTGTCCCATAGAGTCACTAGGCGTTGGAATGGACTCAAAGACACTGGGTTTAGTAAATGGTTGCTCTCTTGACTACTAGCAAGAAACCTGGCAGGTCAAAGTCACCCATGGGTACCTCATAAGAAAGGCCTGGCAATCTGCCTCCAAAAGGTCAGAGCCTTGCAAACCCTGTGGAACAGCTCTATGTACTCCACACACAAGGAGTCATCATGAGTCATTAGCAACTCAACAGCAAAACTTCTCTGCTCTGGCTATAAATACCTAAACAAGATGAGATTTCTTTTTCTCCTTCCTCTCCTTCCTCCTCCCCCCCCTCCTCCTCCTCCTTGTTTTTTTAATAAGTTCCTGTAAGTCATAGTTGTTTTTAAAACTTTGATTCAGGCTTAGAAAAAATTTAAACTCGAGACAGATGATGCTGAGTATCACATATCATTGGGTCTCCCAGTTAAGTTGGGGGAGTTATACAGCTTGGGTGTCTCCTGCTTCTCAAACTCTCTGCCCCCAAATCCAGTGGTGCAGTGCTCCTGGGAAAGCCAACAGAGAGCCCTGTCCTCCGGAGGTCTCCAGCCTGACCCTGCATGTTTATGAGATGACAGAGTGGGGTGAAGTGGCATTGAGCGGCCATCAGATTCTAAACACAGACTTACCATGATGGGACAAAGACAGAACTGAGTACCCATCAGACCACAGCCTGTGAGTCTGTGATGAGGAGAAACGACCAGAGAAGCTAATATTTGCTGAGAGTGATGTGAAGTGAAAGAGAGCAGAGGCTGATGCTAAAAGGTCAGTGAGCAGCGTGCTAATTTGGCATTAATCACTGCTTAGCTACAGCAGCAAGAGGGAAGCTGCTCTCAGGACTTGTCCCTGTCAGGGAAGACCAGTCACCCGGCCTCTTGGAGCCCTTCTCCTGTGGCCGTGAAGCCTGCCCACTCCACGCTGACCCTGAGAACTTGCACATGAGGCCGATGACACCCTGAGCCTCAGAGCATCTCAGAAATTCATGGAGTCAAACACTCGGCTTCTAACCGCATCCAAACAGATGGCAGAATTGACTGAGATGCACTCTCTTGACAGAGATATTATCCGTGGGTTTGTCAGTACACCCTACTGTGTTGAAGGGACACTAGCAGTACTTCAAATACCAGTAGAGTCATCAACGGCAGATAGGTTTCAGCAGAGCTGTCTGAATAAGAAAGACTAAGAAGAAAGGCCTGGCAATCTAGTGCCCAAAAAACCCAGCCATTGGAAAGCCCATGGAGTCCACTTGTACTCTGACACACGTGGGGTTGCTCTGAGATGGAGTCGACCCAGTGTGCCTGGTTTTTTAAAACGAAGGAAATGCAGGTCCTTTAAAAGTGATTGCAGAGCACACAGGATCACTGATGAGGTAAATGCGATGTGTAGATAGGACAGACAGAACAAAGCCAGGCACACTTTTACTGAGTGCAGAACGCAGGCATTTTATCCTGACATGGCTGTAACAACATGATCTCATGATAACAAGAGTAGGGCTGGGCTCACTTGAGTACATGATGCTGGTTTATTGTCTCATCATTTTTAAGTATTTAATATATATATATATATATATATATATATATATGTATATATATATATATATATAGCATTTATACCTGCACATGGATGAAAAAGACCTCCACTGAAATGCACCAGGTCTTTAGATGATATGCATCTATGATTGTTTCTTTACTTTCAGCAAGCAAGGTTGTGTCATAATAATCTGCAATATGCAGAAGATACAACTTTGCTTGCTGAAAGCAAAGAAGACTTACTGATGAAGATCAAAGACTACTGCCTTCAGTATGGATTGCACCTCAATATAAAGAAAACAAAAATCCTGACAACTAGACCAACATCAGGATAAATGGAGGAAGAGAAAAGAGTGACTTTGTCAAGGATTTCATTTAACTTGGGTCCTTGCAAATCAGGGGAGCAAGCAGTAGTCACGGGTGAAAAGGATGGATTGCATCAGACAGACGTGCTGCAAAAGATCACTTTAAAGTGTTCAATAGCAAAGACTTTGAGGGCTAAGGTGTGCTTGACCCAAGCCAAGGTATTTTCAATTGCCTCATATGCGTGGAATAAAAATTGAAATCTTTCAAGAAAGTGAGGTGGCACAGGAGTCACTCACTCATCTCTGCCAAGAAATTTGGAAGACAACTGATTGGAAGACATCCATAGTTGTGCCCATTCCAAAGAGAGGTGACCCAACGGAATGCGGAAATCATCCGATAATCTCTTTGATGTCCCATGCTAGTAAAGTTTTACTAAAGGTAATACAGAAATGGCTGCAAGCATACACTGACAGAGAACTTCCAGAGCTTCAAGCCGGATTCAAAAGAGGCCGTGGAATAACGGATAGATATCATTGCTGATGTCCGATGGATCTTGGCTGAAAGCAGAGACTATCAGAAAGATGTTTACCTGTGCTTTAATGACTATGCAAAAGCTTTTGATTGTGTGGATCATAACAAGCTATGGACAACATTGCAAAGTATGAGTATTCTCAAACACGTAATTGTGCTCATGATGAATCTGTAACTGGACTAAGAGGTACATGTACAGAGCATGGAAACACCGAATGTTTCAAAATTAAGAAAGGTGTGAGACAGGTTTGTATTCTTTCACCATAACTTATTCAACCTGTATGCTGAGCAAATAATCTGAGAAGTTGGGTTATATGAAGAAAAATGTGGCATCAGGATTGGAGGAAGACTCATTAACAACCTGTGATATGCAGATGATACAACCTTGCTTGCTGAAAGTGAAGAGGACTTAAAACATTTACTGATGAAGGTCAAAGAGCACAGCCTTTGGTATGGATTGCATCTCAATGTAAAGAAAACAAAAATCCTCACCACTGGACCAATAAACAACATTCTTATCAAGGGAGAAAAGATTGAAGTTGTCAAGGACTTCATTCTTCTTGGATCAACTATCAACACTCATGGAAGCAGCAGCCAAGAAATCAAATGACGTATTGCATTAGGCAAGTCTGCTGCACAGGAACTTTTTAAAGTTTTGAAGAGCAGAGATGTCAGCTTGAGGACTAAGGTGTGCCTGACCCAAGCCATGGTATTTTCAATAACCTCATATGCATGCGAAAGCTGGGCAGTGAATAAGGAAGACCGTACAAGAATTGACACAATTGAGTTATGGTGTTGGAGGAGAATATTGAAAGTGCCATGGGCTGCCAAAAGAATCAACAGATCTGTGTTGCAAGAAGTACATAGCCAGAGTGCTCCTTGGAGGCCAGAATGGCCAAACTTTGTCTCTCATACTTCGGACATATTGTCAGGAGGGACCAGTTGCTGGAGAAGAATATCATGTTTGGTAAGGTGGAGGGTCAGAGAAAAAGAGGAAGACCCCCAACGAGATGGATTGGCCAAGTGGCA